TTACAGAAATTGAGTTAATCTAAATTCGAATTATAGAGACAAAATGACACATCTAACACAGAAAAGCAAATTATTATTTGAAATAAGTTTAAGTTTCGATTTAATGGAAGTTTCTTTATCTTAATAGAAATAATCCTTTGCGAACGAATAGTCTCTCAATCTTAATTCTTGGCAGATCGAGAATATTTTTTATATCAAATAAAATTATAAATTAAAGATATAAATATTAAGAAAAATTATTTCGTGGAAATTTTTAATTGTAATGATAATGAATTCGCCTATAAAGGATTAATAAAAATCTTGATCTTCTTTTTGCTTTCGAGGTTATGGTTCGATTATATATTAATGATTTTAATATACAAGAAAACGCGCACAATTTAATTTAAAACATTATATATTTTATATTACATATTAAAGTTTAATTAAAAACAAAATATTCTAAAATTTTTGAGCAAATAGTATATACGTATATAAGTATACGTTATTTCTTCGATACAGTGTTTACTATACGTTTGAACACAAGACCGTATGTAGATATCGTATGAAAGCACTTAGTTTCGTGCAGGTTATAATTATCGTTGAACTTTCTTATCGCACACTTGCCTCGAAAATTACGTGGTAATGTAACGGGACTTCGCATGCATGAACGACATGATCATTTTTCTTGTCGCATCCAAGCTCGTCGTAATTTCGTGTGTGAAGTTTCGTGACAATACTCGGAAACCACCGACCTTTGATTCCGCTCTGATTACACGATTTTACGTGATATAATGTGGACGCAATAAACTTTTAATGATAATATAGATTTTTCATAATTTTATCCTGTTGTTGTGTTTAAAATTGGACAGAATTTTACATAATATTACATATAAAATGAAAAGATTAATCTTCTTCGGCAATTGTTTTTGATAAGAATTTTCTGTAAATATTGTATTGAATAATAAAATTAGAAAATCGAATAATTTTGGACAGTGATCAAAATTCAAATAACACAGACAATATCGAGCAAAATTCGAGTAATTACGGGCAACTTCGGCTAAAATTCGGGTATTTACGGATAGTTTCGGGTAACATCGAGCAATCGCAGACAAGAGGCAATATAATAAGTCGAATAGAACGTAAAAGCACGAGTCTATTTGAGACTCTCGTCTTTTATTATTGGTCGCTTACGACGCAACTTGTTTCCTTACGAGAAATATTTTTAAAAGCAATTTATAAGAATTTTACTCGTAAATGAGATATATTTTAGAATCTTAATCTATCCTTTAATTCAAGTAGCCTTTAGCTTTGCTCGTATTATTGCTTGTGTATCAGTGTTCACAAAACAAAATTAAATAAATGCTATTGCGGAAGGAATCACATAAATTTAAAAGAATTTCAATTTTGTCCGCGTTATTTCGCGTTATTTTTTATTTAAAAAAGAATTGAAAAAGAAAAACTATTTATTTTAATTATTATACTTTATTTTTTATAACTTATTGGGATTATTTGATAGTGATATTTTAGCTTGAATTGTTTCTCTGATACGTGATAATAATTTTTTGAAAGACTGAATTATTTCTTAACTTAAACGAAAACATAAACATACGGAATTACGACGAAATTTATCATGATTATTACACATGAAGGGCCTCAAGTACTGTATAATCTTGTATGTGACTCTTTAGTGAAAAAAAGATCGCGAGTAACAGAAAAGAAAAACTCTACTGCTATTGTAACTTTCAGAGTTTAATAAAACGTTTTCACTAACAGAGAATGAATTTCAATTACAATAACCTTTCTGTGAAATAAAAAAATATATTGAAAAATATACTTTGACTACCTTTTTTTCACAATGAAAACTATTATATTTTTTTTTCTTGTTATGATGATTACAATTTAAATGAAAAAAATTTTGATATTATTTTCACCTCAATTACAATTGCTATTTCAATTAAAAATATTTTTTTAATTTCAATTTATTTCAATATGCAAGAAAATTATCCAATGAAAATAAAATATTCAGAAATATTTGAAAATAGGTCGAAACTATCCACAAATAAATTAAAAAATAAATCAAAAAAAAGTTTTACATTAATGATAAAATTTATTATTACTTTGAAAGATCAATCAAAACAATTAAATCAAGAAAAATTGTTATGCGTTCATATCTTTTGTATTTCGAATATCCTCGACAAAATCATTGAAAATGTTCGATGTTTTTATTGGAAATAAAAATAATAATAATTAAAGGTAAAATTCAATAAAATTTTGAATAAGTTTAATTCTAAATCCACACGAAAGATTGATTATAAGAAACAAATTTTTTTTTTTTTTAGAAATTTAGACAAAATAAGTTATTTTCATATTCAAAGAAAAAAACAGTAATTAAAATTATTATTTTCATTTACATCATCTACAAAACAAAATATTATTTTTCCTTAAAAAAAAAAGAAAAAAAGCAAACAATTTGTTTTGAACCTACATAGTTCTTTTGGAAAAATAATTAACTCTTTTGAAATAATAATTAAGGAATAAGATACTTGAACTATTTAAGAGAATCTTGATTCTTGTTTGTGCTGATTTCACGAGTATACTCAAGCAAGCGTTCACAATTGTCCACCAACGCATTTCATTTTCGTTTACGTCAGTGGATGGAAATGGAGCCTCTATCAATACACCATGCAAATTAGGATAATAAAATTTTCCTGAAATAGAATATGTCTTAAAAGACAGAAATCGAGTTAAAATATATTAAATCATTTCATAAATAATACTTCTAAGAAGTTACTTACTAGAAATTTTTAAAATTAAATCAAATTTGCACAGCTGCAATTTACTTATTAACTAAATGACGCGCAAGTTCAATAAACAAATGATTAATATTTTCGATTATGCACAGTAAAAGCAACGTTATTCATTATATAATCACTTGTTATTTTTTTAGTTACAAAATTTTTTAAATGGCAAAATCTTTAAAAGGAAAACTACATTAATTAATATTATTTTTAAAAATTGAAATTATCAAAAACTATTAAATTATTTCATAGTATTAAGAAAATACAAGATTGTAGCAGAAGAAAGAATACATGAAAAATTTATTTAATAATTGTTCAATAAATAATTAAAATTTCACTTTACAAATAAAAACACATCGTTTTATTCGTTGAAAAAAAATATTCTTCTAAAAAAGTTTTCAAATTTTAAGTTTGAATGGAATAAAATCATTAATCAGAATGCAAGAATCATCTTATCATTCTTAGAAGAGCGACGACGTCATACTCTTGTTAAGTATCTGGTTATCCATATTTCCAAGGAACAATTCTTCATTTCGACACAAATCAACGATCAATTTCTGAGAATGGAGAATATTCCACCACTTTATCGATTCAAGGCTAATTAGACAATTTCTTCGTATTAATGCACATAAATATTACAACGCATTCAAATCCAAACATTCTTCTAATTTTCAATGTAAATAAACACAACAAAGTTAATTTTTCGAAGAAACATTTGCAATTGAGAAAAAAATATCATTAAAAAAGCTTTAAAAAAGTCACAAAAATAGATAAACTGCTTATAAAATTACTTTGTTAAAAAATGCATTGATTGAACAAAAATATTCCACTCCTGCCTAATTTAATTAATATTCGAATTGAGACAAATTGTTTATTAAATATCGTTAATCAAATATCGATGGATCGTTTTTCAATAAAAATCATCGTCATTTAACGAATATATTTGATATAAAAAAATATATATTTTGCTCGATACATTGCAATCAGTTAAGCTTTGATGCTTAAAAATAGCTGTTAACCGAAGACGAAGGTTCTTGAAAACTGTCCGAAGTTGTTCGATTACAAAGCATGTACTTGGTGAAAAGATATATCGATATGTTCTTAAGACGCATTCGATATATATACTTATATATACTCCCTTTGCCGCCAAACTAACCTAACGAATCACTCGTTACCAATGATCGCGAAAAATGAAGAATAAAAGTAAAAATCAATTGGTTAAAAGGAATCATTCCAAAATTTTTCCAAAAATTCAAAATTTTTGTACGTTTTGTAAACGTTTTGAGGACCAATGTTGAGATCGATTAACTAAATCTTCATTAGATTAGAACGTTATTATTGGTTACTTAGTGCAAGGTTAATTACGAAATTAATTATTGCATCGCGTTAAGCTCGAATGGAGACCGGCAACCTTGTGGAGAAGGTCTCATCGATATTTTATCGATAGCGCAACACCTATACTACGTTGAAACGATCTAAAAATAATCACTCTGAACAGTACGGACAATGTGAAATCTGCGTCTTACATTCGATGTTCATGGAAACCGGTCAACGTGACTTTCCGTTTGTAATCATTGCATAAAAATTACACTCTTGATCAAACTTTTTCTTCTTGTAATCATACCTTTGCCATTTGCAATAAAATGAAATATAGAAATTGTAATATGTATACTTTTCAGATCAGAAGTCTTGAAATATTTTCTAAATAATATTTTCTTAGCATTTAGATGTTTAAATATAAATTTATCGATTATTCGAATGATATTGATCATTTTCGTATGATTTACTAAGTGATCGTATTGAATTTTTGTATTGAATTGAAATTTCGAGGAAATTCAAAGGATAAAAAATTTATAATTAACATATTTAAATAAATTTCAATATTTGGCAATGAAAAAAAACTAACAAAAATATCGTGTGGGTGCATACATAGATCGATGTGTCTGTGTATAATATTTGTTTTGCAATTGCAAAATACCATATTGCAAGCAATGAAATAGATGCAATCAATTTTAAATATAACATCTATGTAATCAAAATTCTGATTTTTTTTTCATCCAAAATTATAATATATATAAAACAGCATTAAAGCATTTTCCTTTAAATCGTCTTTTTTAAACTTTAATAATTCGAAGTTGGTTAGAAAAATTACGAGCGGAGTAAAGTGGAGTAAAATATAATTTGTCAGACAGTTATCAACGATATTTCTCACAGTCGATATTTCACACACATATTAACGATTTTTTTCATAGTCTTGAAATGATATTCGAATGTATGAAAAAAAAAAGAGAACACGCATTGCTTCAACATCAAGTGGTTCGCCTTGCATTGTAAAAATGTCAGTGGGTGAGATTAAAGGTTAAAGGTGTGTTAAACAAAAGAAAAAATAATTGCACAGTGAATAAATTACGATATGTAACAACAAGATGATAATATTACAAGACAAATCGAAGAATTCGAATTTATAATTTATTTTCTTATTTTTCCCATTCTTATCTGCTATATCTTCAATTGCATTATTTATTGTTTCGCTTTATATCATTTTGATATAACGATTAATTGCTTAAAATGATTTTTTATTCGATTCACGAATTTTAATATCATGTATCAAAGTCGATAAACGTTTTAAGACAATTAAAATATTGATGCAGATAATGATTTTATACATGTTGGAAGCTGTATTAATATCTATTAAACTTTAATCTTTTAATTATCTTTATGCGTATTTAACCTCAAAATTTGAAAGAACATATTAATCAAAATGCAAAATTAGTAGGCGTGTCAATATTTATTATTAGTTTTTCGTGAATTCTCTAATATTTGTCTTCATTATGCATACGTGAAAACAATAACAAATTGTTATGTACACTTATTGAAAAAAGAAACAGATTAAAATACAGGAAAATAATGGTCCAATGATATCAATGCAATAAGCATACTTAGAAAGAAAAAGTTTGCATATAAAATAAAAAAATATAAAGAAAAATTTACATATAATTAATAAGTGTATTCAAAATTTAAACTTTAAAATTACATTTCAACGAGAAAATCTTAGAGATCCACGAAGTATTTTGGTTCACCACTACATATTTGCAAAAAAAAAAGTTTGCCAGATAAGGATAAAAAATATAAAGAAAAATTTACATACGATTAAGTAAGTGTATTCAAAACTTAAACTTTAAAATTATATTTTAACAATGGAAAAGAAAAAAATCATACATTTTAGAGAAATATTTTGGTTCATCAATGTGAATATATAAATAGCGTGTTTATATTTTCTTCCGTTCATTGTATTTCTAAATATCATGAGCTACACTATAGCCAAGCATCTGAAGCCTAACAGACTTGAATTATACAAACGTATGCATACTTGTTGCATCGTGGATCTCGACGAAACGCAGGTAATAACGAGCATTGCATCTAGGTTCAATAGTCGGCGCATGATAAATAACGGACAAATAGAGGGAGGCAAACAAACGAGGACGACAGAGGAAATCGAAGTTCAAATAGACGTGAGCAAATTGCACAGCAAATAGAAAGAATAGCCTCGTGGAACAAAGTAATCTAAAGGGTTAAAATCTTGTTTCGAACTGTACACGCACGCATGTAATAAACACATGTATATACATATTTATTGTGTATTCTCAATCTATGTATCATTCAGCTTCGCAAGAAGTTCGCAAGATAATTTTCGTTATTATAATCATTTTCATGAAAATTTTTACTAAAATTTATGTATCTTATTTTATTAATTATTATTTTATTAATTTGTATTCAAGATTATTTTAATCGATAAAATTTCACATAATAAATGATCATTATACTTAAATGATTGCAATTTCAAAAATCGAAATTTCTCAAATCTTTAATTCTTCACGAAACAATACATTCTGAATTAAATCCTAATTTAAATCCTTAAAATTTTCCATTCAAATCTGCCGAGTCCAAAACTTCCCAACTCTAATTCATTATAACACATATATTAAAAAAAATCGAAGAGAATTACATATAGTAAAATTGAAAAGCATATCTATACTAGGAAATATACATATATCAGTGAATCAAAGAAAGGTTAAAGGTGCGTTCGAAGTTTAGTGTGAATGCACGCGAGCCCACGTGAGGTGGCCAGCGCAGGTGTGATCGTACCTTTAGCGCGAGTGGGTGGCCAGAGGGGGATGGCTTATCGACCAGGATGCTCTAGGCTCCAGAAGCTCAGTATTCGCGGGACCACCACCCCGTCGAAGCGATCTCCTCGTTCAATCGGGACATAAACGAACAGTGCTTGCTTATACCTCTTGTTCCATCGTTATATCACACCGATGTACCGTTCGTCGTGAGAACGAGTCTTCTCACCTGTCACCGGTTTTATCCTTCTCGCGAATCGACGTTTCTTCAACGGAAGCTTTCGTCGAACGCAATAATCAAAGTAAGTGTTCCGCATCTTTGTTTCTTTTTTTTTTTTTTTCTTTCGTTTCGGTTTATTTTGATGATAGCTTTTTGAAGGAATAATTGATTTGATCGGGAGTGGTTCAATTATTCTTCACGAGTAAAAATTTCTTTGAAATTTTCCGGAAATTTGTCGAACACAGTCTTCAGAGCAAATCTTTAGCAATCTTTTTGTTTTGTTTTTTTCGTCTCGATATTTGGTTTAAGTTATTTTGATGGTGATTGGAATTTCTTGAATAATTGAATTTTGCGATTGATAATTGGGAGTGGTTTGATTATCCTTCTCGCGAATAGACTTAAGTTTTTTCGTTGAAAGCAATCCACTAAATCTTTCACTTTTTCTGTTCAACATTTGGTTCAGATTATTTCTGACAGTGAAGAGAATTTCTTGGAGGAATATACAATTACATTTATGAGATAATTGGCAAGTTTTAATCGGAAGTGATTCAATTATCGAGGATAATGGATAGTGATAAATATCCATAGTGTAAATACAGGCAGCGTCTTGTGATTTCCGCGACATTTTCTCGGAGAATGGTGGGTGGATTGAGATATACGTTGTGTTGTTAATGGAGGATAGTTCAATTAGGTTGGCTCGTTTGTCAATATTTTCCTCTTGGCGTAGGTGTCGGGTAAATAACATTTGATAGTAAAGATTGTTGTGCTAGGTCTTGGAAGCGATATAAGATAATGGTAGACGGGATTTCTTCGATAGTTTGTCACTTTTGTCGTCCATCGCTACAGTCGAATGACCCAGTTGATACTCGAGTCGTGGATACGTGAGATATTGCCCGACGACCTGCGGTGACCCAGTTATCGATTCTCCAGATTGAAATGAACTATTTCCACGATTGTTTTCATCACGTCCATCCTTGCGCGCCTCGTGCATCTTCATTCAATAGTTCCTTCACTTCCTTCTTGCCACGAATCCAATTATTCGCCTTTATTCGTTTCACTTAACTGACCAATTTTTTTTAAAGAATAAAACGCACAGAATCTATCCTTTGTATTCCTCCATTTCTTCGAATCGAAAATTAGAAAAAAAAAATCTTCTTCTAACCTGAAAAATTATTATCATATTACATATTTATAAAGATTATCATTATTACATATTAATGTAACATTCTTTTATGCGAGGCACAATTTTTTTTACTCCCTCAATACATTTCTCTATCTCTTCCTTCATCTTCTCCCTCCTTTCCTCAAATCGAAAATTGATAAAAAGTCTTCTTTCTACCTGAAAAATTTGAAAGGAATGGAGCATTGTCGTAGACACTCTCTCATATAAGATACAATTTTCTTACCTCTACTCAAACGTTCCTCTATTTCTTCGCGCGCAAAATCCATCCTACCTTTTCTCCCTTCCTCGAATTAAATAATCGAAAATTAAAGGGAAAAAGTGTTCTTCCATCGGAAAGATTCGAGTATGATCGAACATTGTTTCCGGTCGTTGGCCAAAGTTCGGCTAAGGGGTCGCGCATTTAAATCACTCTGCAAATAGATAGTGGCGAGATGAAGGGGTACACTGACCTCGATTACCGAATCCATCGAGGCGGAATACAGTTGTACAGAGCTGGAACAGAGCCAGGGGCAGAGTTGCAACTGCATTTAGCACGGCTGCCAGCCCGTGAGTCAATGTACGAGGAATCCCTTTGCACGCCGCACGGGGATACGACACATCCGTAAATCAATGTTGTGCTCACGAGGATCCCGGCCTTTCCTATCCGATCGATAATTAGGTCTCGGTGAGAATCAAGCCGGATATTCGATTCCATTTCTCGCGGGGCGACACGCCGCGAGGAAGGGCCTCGTGGGAGGAGGGGCTTTAAGGTAATCGCGTTTCCGCTCCCGCCAAACGCGGCCAATCGAGGGGAGAGACGTCTCTAGAAACAATATGGAAAATTTATGGTTTGAGAAGAAAATCGAGAGAGAAAGAGAGAAATGGATTGAGATTGAGAGGGTTTATTGATAGAAAGAATGGATGGAATGTGTGAAAAATATGGAAGAGAATCTGTGTCAATTTTGAAAGAGAAAAAGAATAATTGGATGATGGTTTGATTAATTGGTACAATTTTTGGAGAAGGATAATGATAATGCGTTTCAGAAAATGGAAATTGTATGTAAAGAAATATAGAAATTGAAGATTAGAGAAGTTGGTTAATTACAAAAGATTAATTTTGTTAAAGTAAATTATATAATCTAGAATATATATGAGTGTGCAATAAGGAAGATTTATGCATCAGAATATTTGTGAAAAATTAAAAATTAGGAGAAATACTTTTAAAAATAGTTGACAAATTATGTATATGATTAATTGTAAAATATAAGAGCAATTTGTTTAGGGAATTAGCCAAGAACCATTGATTTACGACGAAAAAAAAATAGAAAAAAGATCATTGTCGAGAGTATATCTGAATGATTAATTAGTAGTTGGAGATGTCGGAATAAATTTAGTTGAAATTAGATTTTAGATTCGTTTCTAGAGAGAGTAAGACCAGGTGGTGGTCGTTATGGAACGCTTATTTTCACGCAATGCACGGAACACCCCTTTAGATTGGTACCTTCCGCGAAAGGGTGAACCACCTTCGTGTCGTGCCACCTTCGATAAAGTTGATTTGCATGCACCATGCAAAGGCGCGTATTTGCATAAATACTTCCCAAGTTATTTTCTTTTATCGTTAGGACTACACACCTTCCACGATTCGTTCAATTAGACCGTCTTGATTCTGGCAAAAAAACTCGCTAGTCATTGACCTTCTTTTTGTCATTTGGATTTCAGCCATCTCGATTCAGATTTTCCCTAAAAATTATTTTATTTGAATCAGCAATTGTAATTAAAATTAGAATATGGGAAAATTCATTTTTTTCGAATGAATTTTAATCAATATTTTTTAAAAAAATATGCAAAAATGTGAAAAAAATATGCAATGGAACACACTGAAATACTAATAAAATAATTTTGATTAATTTATTATGAAACAAGTATAAATGTAAAATTTTTTTGAATATTTAACTTTATAATTTTTTAAATTAGATTCATATGTTGTGTTAAGTGATAGAATTTGTATATATTTTATACTTTTTAGAAAACTGAATTGAATCGCATGGCGTGGACGTTTATCGCGGTCAACAATCTGTTTACTAATTTTTACTCGAAACTCGTCGTGGCGTGTCCCGTTAATCCAATTTTACAAATCGATTATTTTGTCATGCATGAAATAGATTATCGATCGTCCTCCAATTATTTACATTTTATGGCCAGACTGGATCTTGTGAATATATATCAAATATTAAACATGTATATCTCCATCTGGACATGAATCTTTATTTCTATTTTTCTTTAAACACTTTAAAATATTATTATATAAACCTAGAAAAATTAGTTAAATTAGGTTAGGTTAGATTAGATTGACAACTCGATATACTTGAAACATTTATGCTACCATTTCAAAAATAATTTTTCTTTCAAAATTGTATGTTAATATACAAATACCATATGTAACAAAATGTAATAAAACAAGACAAATATAAAAAATGTCTAATCATTTTTTAACGGCTCAGGTTGAAACTATATTCAATAAAAAATTTCCTTTATATTTTGATTAATGTCTCTTCTATTTTTTAACAATTTATTTAGATCAATTCATCTAGAAAATAAATAATAAACCTAGAAAAATATTTTTTATAAATTTTAATGCAAAAGAAAATTAAAAGAATACCTTCGAATTATTCAAAAATTCTCGATATATCACTAAATTCTTTTAAATAAATCATTTACCTCGAATCAAAATTTAATACTAACGAGAAAGATCATTCTCTTTTGACCATTACGTTTCTCTCAAACGAACCGAAAAAATTGGAACGAACCACGGCAGAAAACAGACGAGTCCACTCGCATAACGCGCCCATATTAATCCCTATGTGTGTTCCCTTCTTCCCTTTTTCCTACTCTTCTTTCGTCGAGAAAAAAGAAAATACCCGCGAGCTTTTGGCAAAAATCCAAGACAGAGTGGAGTACTGGTTGCACATTCGGCGCGTCTATAGCCGTTCCACTCTTCTGGCCGGTGCACATGCAGCCGCAGCCATGACACCGGGAATCAGGCCACTGTCCCACTTTACGCCTTTCCGACCGATAAAGGTTACCCGTTCGTTCTTCGTGCACGTAATACTGACTCGGTTGCGAAACTCGTACAATTCCTGGCTGGAAACGAAAGAGGTTGAAGTTCTTGCGAGGAAAAGAACCGAATCGTGTATAAATCGGAGTGACTGAGTGCAATAGACTTGATCAATCGGTATCCTTGGAATTTCGTTTAGCGACACATAGCCTATGAAAAATAAGAATTGAATAGAATGATCCTGAAGAGGGCAGCTTTAAACTTTGTGATGATCAAAGTTCTTTGAACTTTTGAAATTATTTTGGTTTTTTTTAATCGTAATATTTTTATTTGTGGTTTTTTTTTTAATTGTGATTGTAGATACAGTTATCGAGAGAAAGAATAAGGTTAGCTTAATAATTGGAAGATATTGAGAATTAGTCGTTACTTCGAAAGAAGATTTTACTTGGAACTTAACCTAATCATATTAATTTGATTAATTATTAATTAAATGAGAAATATATTTCTTTCTGATGAAATAAATCATAAATAAATAAAAGTATACTTGTATAATATATAAGTAATACATATATAGTAAGTAATATAATATATTTATTACAGTATAAGTAAAATCTAAGTAAATTTTATTCTGAAAAGATTTAATTATATAGGTAACATAATAAAAGCTTGTCTCAATTTAAATGAAGATAGAACGATAAAATAAAACAAATTTGAAGAATAAATATTTTCAAATAGAAGAGGCAATAATCTTTTCGTCAAAACGAAAGAATAAACACAGGAAAATCTTAAAATATTTATAGTTTTCTGTCTGATTTCTTCATGTCTGTTTAAGTTTTGCTTGGAAATCATGCGTATGATGATCTTGTATATGATATCCTGAGTATGCAACGCATGGTAACAACCCAATTGGATCGCGTGTCGTTCATCTCTCGTCCTTCGTGAATGTAATCGTGGACACGCGAGTTCGTGTTTATCATTAACACATGTGCAAAATTATTCTTTTATAAGATTAACAGTGAAATATGACAAATGCTGCCTTCCTATAATATAAATAAAAAAACATTTTCAAAAATTTAATTCTTTCAATGTATCATGGCTTTCAAAAGAATTTTAATGTTTTTTAATTAAAAATTATCATGAAATCAAATAAATCAAATAGTCCATTACATCACAATATCACATAGTTTCAATTTTTTAATACAATAAATTTTTTAATAAGAAAGCCAAAATACTATTATTGAATATTCATAATATCAAATTATCAATTTTTTTTATTTAATTTTCAAGTAAAGAACATCAAAGCTTTAATATACAAAATAATTTTTTTATAAATCAAAACAAATCTATATCTCTAAATCATGTCAGCTTTTAAACTTAATTTTCTCATGAAAAATACTAAAATTCTAACCTAAAAAAAAATAAAGAAAAGAAAAATGTTTCGGTATTTCAAAATCATTGCACAAAAAGCTTTTAAAAACTGGCGAGAGAAACACGATCAAACGAATCCCTTCAACGATGACCTTAAAAACATATCCCGACCGAGATATCGATTCCGTGCTACGAAACTGGATCATTTAAATCATCGATGAAGACGACTTGTCGGTGTTCTAGACGTGGAAACGTCTCTGTTGGCCTGTTACTAATTTCAACACGACCGGTTGATTTCAAGAGGATATCGAGAAGGACACGAAAAAGAGGTCTGTGATAGTTTTCTAGCCGTGCAGCTGCACCCGGTGCAAGCTCTGCTGTTCGATAACCGAGGTGCAATGGCCGTCGGCCCCAAGAACGTATCTAGGCCACCGGCACCAGCATTTCCACCACCACCAACCACCACTACTAGCACCATCGATATCATTGCTACTTCTACAATCATCGCAAGCTATCGTCTATTAAAATACTGTGATATCGTTGTATTGTTATATATATGAACTATTTGGAAATCAAACTTGGATCAATTCCAATTTTATGAAAAATTATTTATTTTATTACTAAATATGATTAATGTTTGATTTTTCAAGAATCAAATGATTGATGATTACATTGATTCGCGATGATTAAGTTAATTAAATTGTTTTAAAGGTATGATATTCTATTGTTTAAGAATCAAATTGATTAATTGTACTTTTTAAAAATAGGTGATTTTTCAAATAAAATAATTAAATTTGGCTTCTATATGATTCATATATTAGATTATTTTTGTTCTAAATTTTGATGATATTTAAATAACTTTAATGCAATTTATAAGATTATAATAAATAATGCTTTATCAAAATTCATTATTATTATGTTTAATGTATAATTATAAGATTAATTTACATATAATCTAATCAATGTGTGCTTTATTAATTTTTCAATATTATTAATTGATAAATTTTGTTAAAGAGTTTTAATCAAAGAAGCACACATGTTTCTGTGAAAAGTGAATGTCCTATCATCAATGGAAGTACCAGATTGTATATTTTTTAAATTATGATCACTAAATAATAAAATAATCATTGATCAATTGATTCATCTAAAAATTTATTAAATAATTTAAAATTATTAGTAAACTTTTTTTATACAAAAAAGTCTGTAAGGATAAAAGTTAAGAATAATTTTTGTTTTTTTCTAAATTGTTTAATTTTTTTTAAGAATTAATATTATTTAAAAAAAAAATAAAGAATTATATGTCATGTTGTAAATTTATAATAATTATCAGAAATTGATTATATTGATTATATTGCATTAATCAATATGAAAGGTCACTACTATTTTTTTATCAAACTGTATGCACTTTGATAAATATTGCGAAGCCAAAGTTACGTATGTTTTATGAAATTATTTTTTCATGAATTATTTTTTTAACACCAATGATCCTATCCAAAATTATTATTAGAAATTCATATCGTCCTTTAAATGCAACAAAAAAATTTTTCTCTACATTTTGATGAAGAACATTTCTTTTATTTTTTCAGAAAAGATACTAATACGAGAGAAATTATAAATAATACCTTCAAATTATCAAGTCCTTTTTAAATTCTTATTAAATAAACCATCAAAACAAATCCAATTTCACTATCAATCAAACACTATTTTCACGATGAAAAACAGGCGTAAATTTTCATACAAAAACTTCGAAAGCCGTGCCAAGGACGCGATCATTAGTCGCACTTGGAGACACAAGTTTCCATTTAACATCAACGTTCTCAACACCATCACCGCCAGTATCGATCGTGATAAGAAATAGTAATAGTGAAAAGAATCGGAATAATACATTTCTTCAGAAGAAAAAAATAAAATCTACTATATATGTGAAAGGATATAGCGATTGCCACGTGTTGAGCGATAAGCTCTTTGGAAATGCGACACGCTCGGCTCCTCTTTGTAAACGTGGTAGAAAAAAGGGATGCTCGCGGATTGATCGAGAAAATTAAAGCCAAGGACAGGCTGCCTCAACCTATCTTTGAGATCGTAGAAGAGGGTCGCGTTATTGCTGTTTTATCCTCTTTGCTGTGGCTACTCAACAAGGGTTTCCCTTGTTTTTCCCGGTGTTGGACGTTGCGAGTGCAAATAAGGTTAGAGGAAAGTTGTGCGAGGACGACTCGAGGTGATAAGTCGAGGAATGAGAGACAGCTGGTGAAATCAATATGTAATTTTATGTGAGGTGGTTTAACAAATGAATTAAAAATATTCATGTAAGACAATGATAATGACATATTTTCATGTAACGACAAGAATGTTTATAAAATTAAATTAATTAATCTATAAAATTAAAATTTGTAATTTAGATTATATTAAATATAAAGTTTTGTTCAAGGTGTTTGGAGACTTTGAAGAATGTAGATATTTTTTTTAATGAGATTAGTGAAGTAAACTTTGAATATAAGTGAATTATGTTATTAAGATAAATGCATCAAACAAACAACTTTTCTTAATATAAGAAGGAAAAATATTTCAAATATTTAGTGTATTATTAAAAATTGACATTCACACTTCACACGAAAAAAAATTGCGAAAATTCGCTGATTGGAATAGGATATCATGTACATCGTGGAAAATTATTCATTATTGATCGATTGGCTTTTCTATAGTTTCTATCTTTTCTCTTCTCTTTTCTACCCTTCTGTAGACTGTTGTTCTAAAGGAAAATCGATATCCGGTTTATTGGAAGTTTAATTAAATATCGAGTCGAACGACGAGAATAACGAATTCGTTGTGTATGTTTTTTTTAAAGATGATAACGGCGTTGCCAGTACCCTCGGTGAAGGTCTTCCACAAAACCTATTACCAGGAGAAAGGATCCAGGATAGGGAATAGTCAACCTGGAAGCCCTTTGGCCGAAAGCGAAGCAGTGCTGGCGTTAGTTGATAAGGAACCCCCGGAATATTACTTCTGCGGCAAGGTAAGAAATATTCCATCGATGAACGATAAATTTTCAAACTTTTAAAAATAATATGATAATATTTGTCAAGCATCTAGATACTTTCAATTAAATAAGACGTTAATCTGATGATTTATTGCATGTATATAATAATATATTTAATCGATATACATGTATTCAAATCCATTAAGAAAATAGAGAAAACGATACGATTGAAATCACTTTTTAATCTATACGATATCTCAATCGATTTCCAAGATGACTCAAAGTTTCCACAACGTTTAAATTAAAAAACAAAGATTACGAATCGATCCCGCAATTCAATAATTTACATTTCTTTCTGAAAATACATGTTATATTTTTCCAAGAATTTATTTGTTAGTT